TCATCGAGAGCTTCTGCCGGTGGCCGCTCTTCAGCGGTCGCCGGACGCAGTTGCTCGGGCGCGCACCGCAAGATGGATCGTCTGTGTGCCACAATCACATTCTTGCCTACTTTACCCAAAACCAACGCGGGACCATACCACCTGCACCCCCTCACTATTTTACCCTTCTCTAATTTCTGAGTACGCCAATATGCAACCCACTGACCGGATTCAAAGTCGCGACGCAGACGCGGACGCGCGCGAAGGGCATCGCGCAAGGCTCGGCAATCCTGGCTGGCAACCAGGGCTTGGCGCGCCGCGAGGCGAATACGCTGCTGCGAGTCCACTGCGGAGTCCGTCAGAACAGCATCGTTTGCAATCGGGTTTGGATTATCGACCAACAAGTCTGCCGGAATGCGGGGATTTCGGCCGAAGACAAATTGGAAAGGGGACACACCTGAGACATTCAGCATACTATTCTTGGCCCATGTAGTTTGAGTCACGCATTCTTGCCATTCTGCCTCATTAGCGGGGCTAACCTCTGCCAAAACACGAGCAAGGACAGTAGCAAACAGGCCGCCGTGACGCTCTACTTTACCAGTTTGCCAGTGTGCTTCTGCTGCAGTGTGGCGGACACGGGTGCCCTCGTCCTCGCATGGCTGGCATAAAGCCTCGCTAAGGTGTGGCTGTGAGGGGTCTAGGATGAGTTCTTGAGGTGGCCCTGCCCAGCTCAACCAAAAACGACGGTATACTTGACGGATCATATCCCCAGTCTCCCTGCCGGGAAGGGGAATCATCTGCTGAAAAGAACTACCGTAGTCTATGATGTTCAGACAGGGGACTTTCTCCCCAGCTTTCCAGGCTGGAAGGTACTTAACGTCAATGCCTACCCTATCGTTAAACCCCTCTGCCCCANNAGCAGGTGAGGCTGGCAGCGAGTCTGCTGGCTTCTTAGCAGCCTCGCATGTCTGGCAGCGAAACGTGCTGGCACGCTGGAGTGCTTCTGCTGAAGCGCCGCTATTCTTCAACACCCTGAGGAGGCTGGCTTGTGAGGGGTGCCCTAAGTTATTGTGAAGTTTCTTAAGGGCAAGTCCTATGGGATCTAACGGCGACTCTGCAGATACAGGTTGGCCTGGATCACTCACACTTGGCTCAGCGACGGCTTGGCTACCATCACCTCCCGAGAGGCACTCGTACCCTTCAAGACTGACTGCTTCTTGGGGTTCTTCCACAAGGGTATACAAACATTCAGTCCTACCTTGGGTGATTGGGCTGAGGAATGCTCGTACAAATGACGGGGTATACTTACCTGCTATCACACTACGGGCTTCTCCAGTGGCACTAGTACCCTCTATGGTCTGGTGATTGTGGTCTCCGCTGCATTGGCGACACTGTCTCTTCATGTCTGGATCACTTAACAGCACCCCTGTACTTTTCTGCATTGGAGTCTGCGACCCTGGGTCAACTAAACCGTAGGCACACATATCAACCTTATTAACCCCGAACTTCTTAACCAAGGCCCTCACCGGCTCGTATTTCCAAATGCTTGATCCCCATGGGTGCTCGAACAAAATGCGGCCCCCGCGCTTAAGCTGCTTATGGCACTGCTCTGCGGCATACCTGGCCTGTGCTCGGGCCACACGGATCATGCGCGCTCTTTCCAGGGGGCACAACTTGGAGGCATTGAGTCGATGCCATCCTCCCATATGCTTACACGGGGGGCAAACCACTAGGAGTTCGGGTCGGGCCCTATCCAACAGTCTATCTACTTCCCTTTGAACCCGGACATCTAGCAGATCCCAACCCTCAACTAGATCAAAACTAAACCCCCTAAACCCTAATCGCTCCGCCTCCGTGCGGAAGCGCGGTGGAGAAAACAGCTCTGCCACAATGACAGGGCTCTGCGAGTCTTCCTGTGGCGGAGGGCTTTGGCGTTTCCACTGGGTTAAGAGGTTTCGGGTGTCCTTCTTCTTAAGCTTAGGGTCTTTAGGGCTCTTAGGGTTTACAGGGTTGGGCTTGCTTCCTTGCTGAGCAACCTCAAGGCTGTTAGGGAACTTAGGGTCCTTAGGGCACTTAAGGTTTAGGGAAGCTGGCTTCTGTGTGGTCTGGGCTGCTAACACCTCAGGAGTATTAGCTGAACACAGTTGAGGAGCATCTGGAAACTGGGTCAGGTCAATCAGCAACTGGCCTGCCGAGTTCCTCGTGAGCTTCACTGGCACCTGATCTCCAAGCAGCAAGGCAGACCCCTCCTGGAAGTTGAGAATCATGCCTAGCCGCTCCAGTGTTGGCCGTCCAAGCAGGAGCGGTGCTTTGCCCTTGATAACAGCTGCATCCACAACCCCAGTCTTCTGCTGGATAGCCACCGGAATCCTGGCCATCACGGTAGACTCTTCCAGTGCTCCGTTGCCAAAGCGGAAGCTGTTCTTCTGCTCCGACCTGATCACCTTCCGGCCCCTCAGCAACGGCTCCATTGCTCGCAGGGTCTCTTCACCGATCAGGGTCTTGCCACAGCCTGAGTCGACAACACCATGACCTGGAGAACTCACCAACGACGCTGCCATCACCTCTTCCTCGGCGGCCCCGACGAAGTAGATCTGGTCCTGCACGGCGTTCTCGGNNCGGTCTGCACAAAGAGGGTCTCGCTTGGCATCTTCGATGTCGACACTCCCGAAGAGGCACTGTTCAACGAGCCAGATTGCAGAGGTTGTCCAGAGGCATTGGTGCGGGCACGGCACTCACGTGCCCAGTGTCCTACTCTGCCGCATTTGCGGCATTTGGTGCGCCGCTTGAGTTCAGCGACTTCGACCCTGAAGCTTCGACGTGAGGAGTCGGCCGCAGAGAATTGACGGCTTTTGTTAAGCCTGTTGATCTCTGATCTCCGTTCTTTCCAGGAGATTTCCAGCGCTTCAGCCGCCTCTGTCTCAGAGACTGCCTCCTCCAGCACATCCTGATTGAGGTTGTGCTCCGCGAGGAAGGCCTCCACATCATCGAACTCGCTATCCGCGACCTCGTCGGAAGCGCCTTGGTCCGCTGCATCCTCCGCCAGCATCACAGAAGTTGGCTTCCGGGCCTTGACACTGGAGGCTCGGAATGTCGGGAAACAAGACCTGATTCCAGCACTGACGGTGTCCATGTCAAGGCTGCCTTGGGTCTTGGCCTTCACTATTGCCTTTTGTTCCTCTGTGAGGCCCGCACAGTGGAGCATGATCCACCCTCGGGCCTGCGTAGGGAAGTCTACGTTGGCCTTGCGGCGGCATCTCGAGAAAGTCTCCTGAACCCTAGAGGTCCAGTCCTTCATGGACTCACTGTCTTTGGCAGCAAGACCAAACACTTCCCCCAGTGCCTCGCCCATCTGGTCATGGGCCTCTTTCTCTGGGAACCTTTGTTCCAAGAGCGTCCAAACTTGCTGATCGCCATCTTCCTTGGCCAGCGCTTCTAACTCCAGATGCTCACATGCCTCCAGAGCCTTGCCATCTAGCAAGGTAAACAGCCAAGGACCCCTCTGGGTCTTCTGCAAGTCTTTGACCGTTAGCATCTTAGCTAACGCCCAAGCCTTCCATCGCTTGAGCATCTTTCCGGCATCGTCGTCCTCTCCTGAGAACCTTTTAAGGCTTCGCTCGTCCATGGCTTGTGTTGCTACACGTTCTCTACCTAGAGAATCTTAGTAGGGAACCCCAGGTGGGGCTCCGCTACCAATGTTGGTAGCTTCCCGGCCCCACCTGGGGCCCCTGCCGTCGCGCCACTTTTGGCTTTCGAGCATACGAAGTCCTGCGGTAAGATCGCCTGTGCCGGGAGCAGAGGAGGATTGGCTTGTGTTG